GTGACCACAAGAAATATTTGTGGCCTTATAAACAGGGATATCCTTTGATTCAACAAGATTGGGGCTGGAAAGCGACCGCTCGCATCCGCGACGCATTCTCTGTCTCTCTCGAAAACGTGCTCTCTGATGATTTTCTAGCAATTAGGTCATGAAGCCCCTCCTTCCAGCCGCCACTACAGTTGAATCAAAGGGTATAATCTTTTCATTCCTTGCTAAAATGTGACATTGTAAGAAAATCAAGGTGTGAAAAATCTGACAAATCTGATACTGAGATATGAAAGGAAAATTTGCTGTTATGGGTGGGTACGACAAGTGTCAGGAACCCCAATAAAATATCAATTTATGCCATCAAGAAGTCATTCTCATTCGCTAGGATGAATACCGCGTAAGTTTGATCTTTTCTCAAAATGCACATAAACTCAAGCTTTCACTCCTGATCTGAAAAACTCTTTGCAAATTCTGCAAACTGCATGAAAGGGCCTTTCCTACTAGAAAAGTGATCTTCCTAGGAGCGAAGCTTGCTATTTTCCGGAACTATTTTTTAGCTCTCGGCTCAAATTTCGTCCCCTCACTTGAGTCATCCTTATGTTGAGAGCTTTACATCATTAAAATTAGACTAGCGTCATCTGATCGAAGCATTCTCTCCCCTTTTGGAAAAATTGACATATAAAGCGTTGGTTTCTTGTCTGTTAACTTTGTAAATGTCATTTGCATACTAAATACGCTTCTAGATTTACGAAGTAAGATCATAAAGATTCTTCTGTCTTAACTCTGAGCTATAGTCTTCACCAATTAGTCCCATTGTCGCAAACGCTACTAGACTGCATTCGAGAATTTTCTAGCTAATTTGTAGCTGTAGCTAGTGTATCGCACACATTGCGCGGCATATCACGACTTATGCGCTAATAATCGCTAATTTTTGGAGTTTTTTTTTGCTAAGTTACGGATTTTTTCTGTTTTCTCTTTTGCATAAAGCAGAAAGAAGTGTGAGTAGTCACTTCTTAACAACTGCAGAACCGTTTTTACAACTGTTTGCGAGTATTGTGTCGTAAAGTTCCAGATACCTTGTGCAAACTCAAATATTGATTCACAAATATTGATTCAGTACAGTATAGTCACAAGGAACGTGACTATACTCTACTTCGGACTCGACAGTTAATCCATCACTATTTCTGTCATCTGCTGCACCTCATGGTTAGAAGACCGCTACGCGTCCGCTTTGCTCCTGTAGAAGTGAGAGACGACCGTTTTGTGCGACAGTATCCAACAGCTACTCTGTGAATTTGTCTTACCGCGTCGCGCAAGCTTTATATCTACAGGGTATGTCGCGCTCAACATTGGTCCTGTATGGAAATGCTCTGTCGCAGTTACGGTCGTGCGATTTGGCATACCCAAACCACTCAAACCATCCTTTTTTTTGTACGATGATTCGGTAGTATTTCAGTTTGATCATTCTTATCACAAACCGTGTATTTGCTCGTTACGGTATACCTTATTGTGGAATTAGGGTGGGTATACTGTATGCGGGCAAAATCTCAAATTTTTCTGTCTTCTTCTAGAGGGTTATACTACTCAATAATATCATACTTAAACGTGCAGTAAGGCCCCTGGGGGGAGACGGCCCTTCTGAACCCACCGTCCCCTACAGTAATCTAGAACTAGGACGCGCGCGCATGCGCTGCGATGACTGCGGACGAGTGCTCCGCGAAGGGCTCGTATTTTCGAAAATCGCCAACTCCTTTCGTGCGGCTCTTGCCTTATGGAATGTAAGCCAGCCACGCTGATTTTAACCAAACACAGCTACCATCCTCTGAATGTTTGGTATTCTGAGCCCTACTTGCCAGCAGGTTTTATGATTTCCCTACTTCCAAGTAGGTATGTTTATGATTTATGGGACATTTCCGAAGTCTCTTCATTTCCATGATTCATAAAAAACTTCTCATGAATCTCTTTTGAATTCTTTCGAACTTTGTTTTTTTTTGCTTTTTTTCCACTTATATCCCTTGTGTGTGCGATCCTTATAGCCTCGTGCATCGTCACATCATATTGCAATGTGAGCTGCTTGATGTTATTGAGGAAAGCCCACGTAATCAAAGTGTGTATAACAACTCTTTATAAAGGCCAATTATAACTTAAATTTGTGATCTACGTTAATTCGTTATCAAATGTGTATTTCCTTCTGACATTTCAGTGCATCTCTGTAGCTTTCAAAGAAAATTATCATCTCCTTAAAATTTTCATTCCTAGTAAAACTTACGAACGTGCTTTTGAAATTTTTACGCTTTAAAAAGCATGATGCGTGCAGCAAAGAAAAGGTCGCTACCAAAGTCAATCCATGTAGATCACGCTACCAAATGAAGGTGATGCATTTTATTTGATTGGGTTTTTGATATGGACGGTGTAAGAAAAACTTCATTAAAAAAAAACTAAGAACTCATCACAAAAAAACGTATGCTTCCCTACTGGCATGCATGTAGTGCACATTTCAACTGAATGTGACTAAATGATGCTGCAAGGAGGCAAACCTAGGAGAGTAGAGTATGCAATCGAACTCACAAAGACCTAGGAGAGTAGAGCAAGCAATCGAACAAAAAAAACTAGTAAAATAAGCGAAAAGACTTGAAAATGTCTTATAGGTCAAAAACATACCACCTTAGAAAGTAGCCGGCGATTTAAGTAATGTAGAGTAGGGCGAATAACTTAAGTTATTGAATTCTAGGTAATTTGGGGGAATTATGAATTTTTTAGAGAATTACTTCCAGAATCTCATTGTGGAGTAGGTTACCAGCGATGTGAAACTCGTCCGCCTCCGCAGCGCGTCTGCCCAGGTCAGCTGCTCGCTCCCGCGAGCTAGCCAATCATGGAGTGACCTCTAATTAGCGCTGACCTCTTATAGCCGTCGCGATTAGGGCAGGTTCAGAAGGGCCTACACCCCCCCTTGGTGGAATTACGGTAGCTATACGCTAAGAGGTCAAATTCACGGATGGAGTTTGGTAGACTACAGCGCATAAATTAATCGCTCTTGCGCTTTAGGCCAAATCAATCCTCGAAGTAATAGACAAGGCCTTTCCGAAATGAGTGCAATATTCATGATCAGAACGTCAAACCCTCCACAAAGTTTCTGGCACATACGATACCGCTTACCGTATTCCTACCGTAACTCCACCAAGGGCCTCATTGTACGAAAAGAGTATGGGATTGTGTTCAAAGTGCCGAATAATAATAAGTGCTTCCATACAAAGTTCGAGCCCTAAACCTAATGCCTATAATATCAGTGGCGTATCCAGGACTTCGGTTCTGGGGGGGGGGGGAGGTAGGAGAGAGCAAAAATTTTTCTCAGTAAAGGTGCATGGGTTTTTTGGGATGCTTCTCAAAATTTTTCGGATCCATGACCACGCTACCACGACTCCGAGACTTCCTTTATAAGACTAATTTTAATTTAAAAATCGTTTCAATTGATTCGCAAGTATAAACAACTCACTTGCACGCTTTCATAACTCATATAAATAATGCTCATGAATTTTGCAGTTCATTCTCGGGGGAGTTACGTGCCCCCTCCCCCTTGGTAGGCCGTTGCCATATACCCGCCGTAACCCAACGCTACCATAACGAATGAATACCATCTTCATTAGCAGCACGTCAAAAGTTACCCTTATACGAAGTTTCAGCGAAATCTTAGTTTCAGCCTTTGAAGTCTATGTACTAAAATAGCCCAAAACTTTTTGAATTTCGGAGGAACATTTTCTGTCTAAAAGTTAGGCCACCAAGATTGATGTTCGTGTAAATTACAAAGAGGAAATGACTGAATCTATGGTTCTATAAAGTACAGGAAATTAGGTGCGGGAGCTATTCTTTTTCTCAGAGAAGAAAAATTGTCTTCGGATGAACTATCGTTTACAGCAGCAGCTGATCTATATGCTAATATCGGCGATACGCCGTCCATTATGCATGCGTTGGACGAGTCGAGAGCTCCCCTGTGTTGCCGCCATTGCATATGCAGCACATCGTAGCGAATCCGTAGCACATCGTTCCGCGCTAATCTCGAAAATGAAATCCTCCATTCAAGCATGAAATTCGACAAATTGCCTTGTTTTCGGCTATAGGTTTCTCGAATCGCACTTCAAAACACACTCGCTTTGAATTTCTAATCACATAGCGTGATTGCACTGTATTTTTTGCTTTAAATAAAATTGCGCTACTTTGGCATAGTTGTTAGGTTTATTCTAAATTTGATGCGTAGGACGACTAGTATAAAGTTCGCGCCAAAATAGACGCCTTCACGCCCCGCTTCCAGCGGCTCCGGCGGCAGGCTGAATTTATGGCCATTAGGTCCTAGCACGATATAACTTTTAGCATAAGTAGACCTCAGTTATTTGATAAAGTTTTGCACGTTTTCGCTTTATTTGATAAAGTTTTGCACGTTTTCTCTTTCTCTGTGTACCTCACCTTATCGAAAAGAAGCAGCTTTGTACGGTGGCGTGCGATTGCACTCAAAAAATTGTGCGGGAAAATTTAGCATTCATTTTTGTGTGCAATTTTGAAGATTTTAGTTGGTTTTTTCCTTGCTGCCCAAATTACGCGCTGAAAAAGGTTACTTGAAAAAAGCTTACAGAAACATACGGTATGAAAAATAGTGAATACCATAGACATACTTGAAAACAAACTTTTACCGCCAGAAATGAAAACCGGATTTTACGCGCAAATATATGCTAGTGTGCATTCGCACAAATTACTCGGCTACTCAACCACAAGTCGGCCAAAGCTTGTGTCATATGTTCAGTCTCTTGATATTCATTGGCAGATATTGATATTTTCTTGATATTATAAGGAACAATTTGCTGCCATCGGCATTTTCGTAAATTTTTTCCTGAAATCTGTATTCCAGCATTGTTTAAATTTCCCCACTTTGATGCATTTCTCACTGCCATTTTTAACAAGTTTTTCTAATCTGATAAATTCCAGTTTTTAACTTTGCAGATGATTTATACTATATTTTATAGGCGCGCGACGCGCTATGGACGCGTTGGTGTCGCGCGCGCGTCGGATCGGTCCGTTGCGATCGTTGTCCGACCCGTTGCTGCTCTCGCTCTTCTCCAATTCCGACTGCATACCCGATAGGGTTCAACAAGGTGTTGTCTGTAAGTTGATTTTCCATTTAATTCACTGTTACGAGCATCGTCAAGTCATATGTAACCTAATGTGTGAACTTGCACAAGACGCGCGCTACTTGACGACTTGTACGATAAAATTTGCTCCTCTCCGGAGATTTGTCCTTGTTTTCTTGTTTCTCTTGATTTGGTTGGATATGTATTAGTTAGTAGAACACAACTCTATAGTTTTTCACGCTAGAAGATGTTTTATTGAGTATTTATTCGTAAATCATCGGTAGTCGCGCAGAGTCTGCACACTCACATATTAAGATACAAATGACTTGATGACATGTACAAAGAATCTATCACTATTTTGTTGACTCTTCGTCTAGAGAAGTCATCTCTTGAACTTAAAAATTGACTAAATCTGCATTGGTCACCATTTACGTAGTAGGTACGTCTACAATCAAAAGGTCAAGATCATTTTCTATGATCTACTTGGCCCGCCTTGCACACTCACGGTAGATCTATGATTAAATGTTACAGTAACCTCGCATTTAGTCTCTCTTGAGCAATTTCCAAACGTGATTTTGCACAAGTGATTATTACGGATCGAAATGTGTGATAAAATGGTAAGGGGCTTTTGTTCTCTAGCTCATTTCTTTTCTTCCTCCAGTCTTTCATGGGTTGCTCTGTTTTTCTACTGGAGTTCAGAATTTTCTTTCGCTCACCAAAGCATGTTCATTTTGACTCTTACCATCCCCTTTAGCTACCTCAGGGCTCGGCACAGGTGGCTTATGAGCAAGGTGGATATCATTTTTGGGACAAAAAGCAAGGGGGTTTCGTTCTTGTGGCCAAAAAGACGCAAAATTTGCGACGTTTTTTTAGTCGACGTATCGTTTTTGGGGATCCATTAGGGATTATGGTCTAGGGTCAAAAGGGACTTCGTAAAAATTCGCAGAATTCAAGGGGGACTTCGTTTTTTGCATTTTCAACTATCCGCCTCGTGCCGAGCCGTGAGCTACCTCATACAAATCTACAAATACGACACGATTATTTCCATGACTGAAACTTTCTATAGCATATAGCCTACGTCTACTCTCTAAATTTTTATTGCCTACACTCTATAAGCTTGATAAAAAAATGTAGTTTTTAGTGGTTCAGTTCAATTTTCCTTTTCTGGTAAGTTTGATTTTATTCCTTCACTGATTATATCAAATCTCCAAGTATTGCCACTCCCACTGCTATTTGCATCGGTACCACTTTATCACATTGAAAATGGTTTTTTTCTACAGCGCTAGCTCTCATACTCGCAAATAAAGTTTATAGTAGTGAACACTCATACCTTTAGCTGCTTGACACACCTCATGAATCATTCAGTAAGGACTACATGGATACTATTTGGTTTTCTTAGTCGGTAATGTATAGGAACACAGAAAGTGCACTCGGCGCTAAGAATGACAAAAGACCACATAATTCGGTCAACTCAAAACAGCGATATCTTGCTGTTTTCTCTAAACTTCGCAACCGGCTTAGACTCGTAAGATATACAATCAGCAATTTGAACAAAATTACTGCAATGCGTCGTTCTCTAGTTAAAGAAATTAGGAATTTTTTTAAGAAAAAATTGTACAGCAGCGATTATTTGCTTGAGCTGAGCTTTTGACCTTTTTTTTTTGAAATAAGTGTATTTTAGGTCACATAGCTTTGCTTTAATTTTTGATCTTTGAATCCGCTTTCTTCGTGCACGCTAACTTGAGATAAATTTAGAACCCATCTATGAATTCACTTTTTGTGAGGCAAAGTTATATGTATCTGCTCCACTAAAATAGCTGAATGTCAATTTCAGCAGTTTCTTTTCATTTCATTATCTAGATATAAACCTTACAAGCTAGAATCAAAAAGCGGATCATGGTACATATATTAGGGTGTCCCATAAGTTTTTATCGTTTTTACCCTAAACGTCAGCATTTCTCGAATTTTGGGGCCGAGATACGATTTTTTTACAGTAAAGTTCGTTTTTGACTGCTATCAGTTTCAGCTTTGAACTTGACGGGGAATACGATTCGTGCGGACCCGTGATAACCAACTTGTAGAGCTTGCTTTGCTTTGTCGAATGATCACTTGATCCACTTCGATTGAAATAAAGTTACAAAAAGACGACGGTTGTAGCAAAAACAGTAAAAAATTATAGGACACTTTAATACATAGAGCTTCTGAACGATTTAAGATCCATGAACTGAGATCAAAATCTGAATTTGCCCACCTTCTTGTCGTTTAAGTACCCAAAATTCTTTTTATTAGGTTGAACACTAAGTTTTGCAACTTTTCTCATAACTTCCCTCTCACTCAACATGGTGCACTCAAATTTTGCCACTGTGTTGGCTATTATGTATACTACAAGCGCAGCTGCTGTCCTACCAAATTCTGACGTCGCAGTGAGAATTATGGTAGGTGTATGGTATGAAGGGGAAAAATTCAAAGTTTGACGGATTTGGCTGAAACTAGGCATAGGGGTGTTATCCGACATGCTGATCACGAAAACGATAGTGAAATTGCGTGATAAAAGCTTTTTTGTAGGATTACTGTAGGTGTACGATATGGGGTCTCACCCTAAACAAGGAAAAAGACGTTGATTCAACAAATGAAGGTGATATTCGCGTTTGCCAGGTCAAATAACCTTACTATGTAAAGTCTCGGCGGAATTTGAGCTTCGGACTCTTTAGTCATTGACGGTCGTCCCCAGCAGCTCTTGCGTACATCGACTCGTTCGACTTTATGAGGACGCCAAATCTCGACATGCCCACAAATTTTGTTTCTTTCTTGCTAGGCCAAAGGAGTCAACCTCTTGCAATAATTTGTATACGAATCCGGATTACTGCGCATGGTCTAGGCTGCCAAAGGCTTCATTTTAGCTTGAAACCTCAAAAATTCTCAAATTTTATAAGTTTTCGAAAAACGCCTGAAACTTTTCTATTTCGTGTTCAAAATTCAGACAATTTGTGCTCACTTGTAGTTCACATTGCATTCTACATGATGCCAGAGTTTGAGTGCGCCATGTTGAATGAGAGTGAAGTTATGAAACAAGTTGCAAAACTTAGTGTTCAACCTAATATAATCACATTTTAACTTCACGATCTCAATTGGTCAAATGTAGTGATAAACTTGAATATTTTTGGTAGTGACAATCTGCAAAAAAAATGCTTTATATCCTCTCTATTTCTGCTAATGAAATTCACGAATTTGACTCGAATACTTCCAATTCTGCTTCTGGAAGGGAATCACTCCTTTTTCCCGACCTTCCAAAGTTTCTTGAGCTGATGCAATTGTGACATCACTGTTATAAATACACCGTTCACATCATTTATTACCGTAACATCTTATTAGGAGACTTATTAGTTTCATTATTCTTTCTTTGTACTTTTTTATTTTCTTTGATCTTATTTTCCATGGTTTGGCGCAGCTCTGCCTCGATTCAGTTTCTCTTTCCAACACATAGCGGAGCAATCATCAACTTCATTTGTCTCAGTGCGGAAACGCCCTCCCCGGGGGATGGAGATGATCCCTGATAAACAAATGTACTACACGCTACTTCCAACGATGTCTATTCTTCCATTCCATCCAAACTGGCTGATTTTCAGTAGTGTTTCAATCGAAAAAAGCTAGAAATTAGTAGTTTGACGCATAAGTTTTGCAAATAATTTCGTAACTTTTCTCTCTTCAAATGTGACTCCTTCCATTTCTGGGCATAATGTAGATTAGATAGTGGGCTACAAATATGCACAAGCAATTCGATTTTTGGTAACAAAGTGGAGAAAATTTACGTAATTTTCGAAAGCTGGTCAAATTTGGAATTTCAAGCGTCCGAAAACCAAAAAGAAAGCCGTTGTCGATCTGAACCAAACACATCGAGCCGAAACTGTATCTAGATGATTAATAGAGGAATTTATATTGATCTGTACATTTTCGGCTTGATGCGTTTGATTTAAACTGAGAACGGCTTTATTTTTGTTTTTCGGACCTTTGAAAACTCGATCTTGACCTGATCTTTCGAAAATTGCGTCAATTTTTTCCATTTTGCTACAAAAATTAAACTATTTTCAAGTATCCTCCCTTCCTAACTTCGGCATTGTTAGTATGTTGTGAGTAGAGTTATAGATTAGATTTAGCCGGGGATGGAGGAGGTTTTTGATGAGGTAGACATAAAATCATAAATGTCTTACCCTTTAGGCCTCTGAAATACGAATACTTGAAACGTTAGACTGCCACTTACTAATAAATACTAACCTCGATTGGCTTACTAATCTACTCACAACAAACTATTTTCGTTTATTTGTAGCCTACCTTAATCTACATGATGCCCAAAAATGTGTCACAGTTAGAAAAAGAGAAGTTACAAGATTGGTTGCAAAACTTATGTGCCAACCTAATAGTTTGAGCCCGCATTTGTCACGCGTTTTTTTTATTTCACTCTACTTTATCATTGTAATTCTGTCTTTGGTGTTTAGAGATTTTCCAAATTATTAGTACAAGCACAAGCTCATAGTCAAGTACTAGGCAAAAACAAATTTGTAGTAATCTCTACTTTTGTCGCGCACATTCAGTGAGGTACGCATAAAGTCTATTGTACGCCTAACGACAAGTTTTTGATCCTTTGTTATCAAACCTACTTAGAGAGTTTGTTACCTTTTCACTCGCATCCGCTGTAGTGCCTAAGAATATTTAGGTTTAAAGATACGTTTTTCAGTAAAGCTACCTTTTCCATTTACTTCAAATTACGACCCTTAAGGTCATTCTTGGAAAAGTTTGTATAGGCAGTTGACATTTGTGATAGAAAAGTCACTATTTTCCGCATCTTCTTGGGCTTTTTTAGAATAAAAAATCTAGTCGAGGCACTGACGTAAGAAACAGAAAGTGAGCGCGTACAAAAATGTTATTTAGGTCGGAATAAATCTCTGCTTCTTTTTACGGGCGGGAGACGCTGCCAAACGGTCTAATCTGGGGCGGACATCTGTAACAAGCGCACATATAACATGTAGCCGTGCTAG